TTTTTTTTTTTTTTTTTTGGCGTGTAACTCAGGACTTACAAATAGTTCCAAGATAAACTCCATTTCAATTCTCTTTCCCAATTTACCCCCACAGGCTGTGGATTACCCACAGAGGAGGTACAGAATAGTTCTTCGGAGCACCATGGGACCCATAGACGTTTATCTTGTTAGGTATGTTTGCTTAATGTTTTTGGAGGTTTTTTTGGTTATGATCTATTAAATCATTAAATTGTTTGTTATTGGCTTGTCTCAGTCAATTTGAGGAAAACTTTGAGGAGATTCGTGGGGTCGAGGCCCAAGCAAGCATTCCCGAAGCATCAGGTGCCAATGCGAATGAGCCTGCACCATTACCAACAGAGGAGATTAGAGGAAATGATACTCAGCTGCAGGAAATAGAAGCTCAAAGAGTGTGCCCAGACGCTAATATATCACAGGACTTCACGTCTGGAATAATGAAAATTGTACCGGATGTTGATGTAAGCCAATAGTTCACTGTTTTTTTTTTTCCCTTAGTCGATGCTTGGTTATTAGAAATAACCTAAACTCCAGCCTTCTTTTTCTTCAACTTGACGGAACATAGTTACGAAGCTTCAACTGTCCATTTGTAACTCTACTTTTTTCTTATTTGGTGGTTGCAGAGTGATGCTGATTATTGGTTGTTGTCGGATGCGGGTATAAGCATCACCGACATGTGGAGGATAGAATGTATCCTAAATTAATATCATTTATTGTTACTATTTTCTAAAAATCACCCCTAACATCTTTCAGCCTGATTTAATGAAGCTACTGTTGTTCAAATACAAATACCTGTGCTTAAAGTGTCATGAACACCCCTATTGAAAAGGAGGAAGTAAAAGATGTCAAGGGATGCTTGTAGTTTAAAAGATAGATGTGTTTTTTGGTAATAGGTCAAAACTTAGGGCTTGTCTTCATAATTGTTTTTTATTAGTTCTTTCCCGAGTATGAAAAGAATGAATTTGGCAATTGGCATAAATATTCTATATTTTACTACTATATTCCATAACTGCAAACTCTACAGCTGGAATCGACTGGAATAACTTAGATGTGATTCCCGAAGAAAGTGCAATGGCTGATGTCTCAACACCACGGGCCGAGAACCCAACACCAAATACATCCGAAATGAATACTTTTGTACCACAAGAACAAAATCCACCCACAACCATGGCAACAATGCCTCTTGCAACTGACACTGCGGGGAGTTAAAGACAACATTGCAGGGAAAGAAAGAATCGGGAAGAAAAAGGAAGAAGACGACGCCCGTTTCCACCTCTTGTTGTATGTAAAGATAAAAGAGTTCCATTTATGTACACTTGAAACACTCGAAATAATGCAATATTTGGAGTGCCTCCAGAGTACTGAGAAATTATGTGTTTCTCATGCCCGTATGTGCTCATGTTGAGATTTGCGCTTCATTTCTGCTGCTTATTTACTGTAAAAGGTGTCGTTTTAGGTACTGTATGCATAAAACGGAGCAGCGGAGGATCGTACTCTCTTGTGCTAAGATGAAATGAAATGTGGATTCTGAACATTTTGCATGATTTTAATTTTGAGCTTGTCGGAAAATCTTTTCAAGTATTGGAGAATGTAAAACGTGGTGGGGAATGAGACTTGAGATGGGTAAATTTGTACAGTTTTTTATTTTTTTTTTTTATTTTTTTTTATTTTTTTTT